TGGTGGTGTGTGGTGGTGTGTGGTGGTTTGTGGTGGTGGTGTGTAGTTGTAGTGGTGTGTGGTGGTGGTGGTGGTGTGTAGTTGTAGTGGTGTGTGGTGGTGGTGGTGTGTGGTGGTGTGTGGTGGTGTGTAGTGGTGTGTGGTGGTGTGTGGTGGTGTATGGTGGTGCGTAGTTGCCAGGCTCTCTTTAATAACCAGCTCTGGAGGGAACTGATTATGTCAGAACTCACTCATTGCCATGAGGACAGCACCAAGCCCTTCATGAATGATCCATCTCCATGATCCAAACACCTTCCACCAGGCCCCACCTCCAACAATGGGGACTAAATTTCAACATGAGGTTTGGAGGGTCAAACATTCAAACTATAGCATCAGCCAAAATTATAGCTGCAGGGGAATTAGAAGAAAAACTGGCAAGATGAACAAAGATTTAGTGAAATATAACACATTAGAGAATAAAAAGGGGAGTCAATAGTCAATAGGTAGAGTCATTAGAGAATAAAAAGGGGAATAAAAAGGGGTGCAATCATAGTTGATTGTATGTTTTTGCATAACTGGTTAGTTCAATTAACTGTTACAGGTATTTTACTGAGGATTTTAACATCTGAATAGTTAAAAGTGTTCTCTAATTGTCTTATAATTTCCTTACCTTGTTTGGGAGTCAGGATTATAACAGCTTTGATAAATGTGTAGGGAAGCTATCTTACGTCTTGTCTTTTGGGAAAAAGTGCATTAAGTGTTTGAGGGGTGAAAGGGAGGGGCTGCAAAGGGCATGGGAAAACTTTCCGGGGTAATGGGCATATTCATTATCTTCAATGTGGTGATGGTTGCAAGGGTGTATACAAATGCCCAAACTCATAAATCGTACACTTTAAATATTCAAGTTTATTGTACGTCAATTATACTTCAATAGAGCTGTTTGTTGTTGTTGTTGTTTTGTTTTGTTTTTAAACCCTCACAATTTCATTCTGGGCTCTGTGCTTGGGCTCTGAAATTTGGTAGCAGTGACCTGAATCTCCATGCCCACTATAGCAGAGCAGAAGCACCATCCTCTCGGACAAACACCACCACTTTAAGTTCCAGCTCCCTTTCTAGCCTCATGCATTTCAAGAAAATCACTTCTCTTCTAACAAAAAGCAGACAGAAAGAGCAGACAGTAAAACATAGATAAGACAGCTCGGGCACAGAAGGAGGTGGGGGGAAAGTCTCTTGGGTAACTGCCGAACTTCACCCTCATACATTGGGCCCCAGTAAAACAGTGGGCCTTAATAAGCACATTCCTTTCCCTTCAGGTGCACTAAGATAGGGAAGCTAAAAGCAGACTTGGGGGTATGCCTGCAGCTGCAGGAAGATGTATGGGAACAGACACACAACTCTCCCTCCCAGGTAAGCACAGCAAAGAGACACAGAAGTCGTCTAAGCCTCTGATAAACTCTTCCACCCTGAATCCTTAAAAACTCTGTCTGTAAGAAAGCATGCCTCTGATCTTACTCAGTCAGAAGCCACTCTCGGGTTTGTTTTCTTTAAAATAAACCTGTCCTTGACCATCAAGCCATCATGTTTCTTTCCTCTTTCTTTAACTCTTACACACTGGAGCCTAGGGAAAGGATCATTCTCTGCCCACTTCCGTTACCTGAGAAAAGAACACCAGAAAAAGAAGCCCTGGAGAAAACATTAAGATTTGCAGCCAGGCATGGCAGCTGATACCTGTAATGCCAGCACTTAGGGAGGTTGAGGTAGAGGATTGTTTGAGGCCAGGAGTTTGAGCCTAGCCTGGGCAACATAGTGAGACCCTGTCTCTAAAAACAAAATTTTTTAATAAATTATCTGGGCCTGGCGGCAAGTGCCTGTAGTCCCAGCTACTCAGCAGGCCGACATGGGAAGATCCCTTGAACTCAGTACAACTTAGGCTGCAGTGAGCTATGATGGCACCACTGCACTCCAGCCCGGGTGACAGAGCAAGACCCTGTCTCAAAAAAAAAAAAAAGATTTGTAGACTGTCAAAAGGGACATCAAGAACGTCCCCTGTGAGCCCGGGCAGGGTAGCTCACATCTGTAATCCCAAGCACTTTGAGAAGCCACGGCAGGAGGATTACTTGAGCCCAGGAATTTGAGACCAGCCTAGGCAAGATAAACCTTGTCTCTACAAATAAGAATAATTAGCCAGGCATGGTGCAGGCCTGTGGCCCCAGCTACCAGGGGACTGAGGTGGGAGGATTGCTTGAGCAGTCCTCAGGCAGTGGAGGCACCAGTGACCTGTGGTGACAACACTGCACTCCAGCCTGGGCGATAGAGTGAGACCCTGTCTCAAAAGAAAATAAATAAAACAAAATGTCTCCTATGGAAAATGAGAACTTCCAGTAGAACAACTGTGGGAAAGAGACAGGATCTTTCTGTTCTTTCCACAGTATTTCAGATTTCAGACCGCTCGAGATTCCTCTAGCTAACGACTTCACAGTTGGTAAGAGCAAGTTACCTTCACAATGTTTCTTCAGCGTCTATTATGACAGTTCTTGGAACTATGCGTGCCAGATTACAGTTCACACCTGATGGTAGTGACAGTGGAAATGCCTTTAGGAGGCTTGCAGATGCCTTGGACCCAGAAAATACAACTTTTTGAGACATTTGGGAGAAAAAAGAGTGTTTTACATCAGCCTTCCCTGGGGTTCCACAAACAGTGAATGGATCTGAAGACACACCTTCAACATTCTTTAAGAAGGAACCATGAAAGCCAACCTTAAATCATTTAAAGAGAGAATGAAACTTGAAGCAATGCACAGGAAGAACCCTTACCTGATCTGCTCTGCAGCTACTGGAAACGTGAAGGAGATAGTTTACACTTCAGTGGATGGGGGTGGTGGCTTAGGCCTGTAATGCTAGTGCTTTGGAAGGCAGAGTGGGGAGGACTGCTTGAGGGAGAGTTCAAGGTTGCAGTGAGCTGTGATCCAGCCTCGGCAACAGAGCGAGACCCTGTATGTGAAAAAAGAAAGAAAAGAAAAGTTTACATTACATTTGGAGACTGGAGAGGAGCTTCTGAATACTGCTGCGATTCTTCAGATAGTCTCCTAACTGGGTAGGTAGTATTGCTTGACAAATGTCTTACAACTATCAGAAAACAATGTTCCCATTACAATCAGTAGAGCGAAAGCACAATCTTCTCCTTCCCACCCAGCATTCAGTGCAGGCTCTGTAGAAAACTCACCCAGGAACTCAGCTCAAGAAATCAGGCTGGGTTAAACCACCTGCACAGCTTTCCCCCCTACGAGGAAAGAAATCAGGCTGGGTTAAACCACCTGCACAGCTTTCCTCCCCACGAAGGAAAGAAATCAGGCTGGGTTAACCACCTGCACAGCTTTCCCCCCGAGGAAAGAAATCAGGCTGGGTTAAACCACCTGCACAGCTTTCCCCCTACGAGGAAAGAAATCAGGCTGGGTTAAACCACCTGACAGCTTTCCCCACCACCGAGGGAAAGAAATCAGGCTGGGTTAAACCACCTGCACAGCTTTCCCCCACTGAGGAAAGAAAATCAGGCTGGGGTTTAAACCACCTGCACAGCTTTCCTCCCCACGAAGGAAAGAAATCAGGCTGGGTTAAACCACCTGCACAGCTTTCCTCCCCACGAAGGAAAGGTTTCTTAAAAATGATTCCCTGACAAAGATCAGCGTTCATAATTAAAAGAGGCCCCAAATGAGAAAAAGGAAACATTGTCTTCCTGTTTTGTGTTCTCCTCCATCTCTATTCATGAAGTTGCTAGAAAGAGACCTTGGCCTTCCACTAGATCTGGGATGACATTGCCGGGACCATGAATGCAGCGATGTCTGCAGTCTGTTTCTTTGCAAAGCAAACAGGGGACTCCATGCTCACCTGCTTCAGAAGAGAGCCCCGGCTGGCCCCGTGGGTGTGGAGCTCTGGTGGACCATGCAGACCTGTGTGGATTGTGCCTTCCAAGCTGTGACAGAGGAGTTAAAAAGAAATTATTTAGGCAGATAGTGAGAATAAGGAAGCCCTTGGTAAGGTTTTCCTTTTAATGAAAAGCAGCCCCCAAATCATTTTGTTTTCTAGCAAAGAGCAACCTGTAAAATCAAGCTGCAGACATAGACAAGCAAGCTGGAAGCCTGCATAGGCCAATGCTGGTGGTTGTGCCAATAGAGGAAGGTTACCTGGGAATAGGCACATTCAAAATGGTGGCTCCATCATCTCCTCTCTTTGCCACCCACGTGTACAGTAAGGAGCAGACAAGATGGCGCTGGCCAAGTAGAAAGCCAATTTGTATAATAAGATCAGGGTGGGATGACCAGCCTTCCCCGAGTACCATGTAAATGTCACACCTGATTAAACCAATCTGTGGGCCCTGTGTAAATCAGACACCACCTCCTCAAGCCTGCCTGTAAAGTCTGCTGTGGTCCACCTCAGGCCGGCTTTTTCCCTTTTGGATGCCTCTCTCTAGAAAGAGAGAGAAAGCTGCTCTCCGCTTCTTCCGCCTGTTAAACTTTCCGCTCCTTAACCTACTCACATGTGTTCATGTCTTTAACCTTCCTGGTGCAAGACAGTGAACCCCAGGTATTTACCCCAGACAATGATGCTGCTTCAGCTGGACGGCTCTTGAATGCCTCCATAGAGGAGACGTGGTCGCTGCCTCCTCTGGTGGGGAAAAACGTTCTACCTCCTTTCAGTGATTAACACTTCCTCAAGATAAAAACGGTAAAAACCAATCAGCAGAGGCAGACATGCCAGTGAACGAGAGCCAACTGATGCGCTCAGAACCCTCCATCATGTCATTCCTCTCTCACCTAAGGAGCCCACATAGAAGTACATGCACCGCAGGCAGAAATACTGTCTTACGAGGACAGACATGCCAGAAGAGCACAGGCTTTCCGAAAACCACCAATGCAGCAAACTAACTCTCTGAGCATGGACTGGGGAAATTCCTCAGCTCTCTTAACTATAGGAATTATTTTCAGCCTGTGTCAGCGACGCTGAGCTCATCCCCAGTTCTGAATAAGCTATCACTGACTTCTACCAAGGACAATTATATGAAGTCAGCAAAATCCACATGCAGAGGAGATGGACACCCAATTCAACAAGTGAGTGTGACCTCAGTGTACTGAAAACAAGCTTCCAGGAAGGACATTCACATTGGTTTGTGGATGAAGTAAAATAATTTGTGAAAGAGATAGATCCTCAGACTTTGGCATTACTGGAAAAGCTCGTCAGGAGACCTGAAGTTGGTGGGAGTTTCTGCTGTGTCTGAGGAGCTGACATGAGGATGAAATACATAAGACTAACATCAAGCCCGGCGTGAAAGCTAGGCCACTGCCCTAAAAGACTTAACGAAAAGAATGTTTTGTATATGTTCAGACTGTACTTACTTCTCGGATGTACTGATGCCTTAAAAAATATTTTTGTTGCTCTAAGCAGTCTTCCTTTAGCAAAGGGTTGCCCTGAAGATTGCAGAACTTAACCGGCTTCTCTAAACACTATTAAGGTGGGAGAAATCTTGCACATTAAACTTGGGAATTCTTTCACTTTTTTTTTTTTTTTTTTGAGACAGAGGCTTGTTCTGTCACCCAGGCTGGAGTGCAGTGGCACAATCTCGGCTCACTGCAAGCTCCGCCTCCCGGGTTCACACCATTCTCCTGCCTCAGCCTCCTGAGTAGCTGGGACCACAGGCACCCACCACCTCGCCCGGCTAGTTTTTCATATTATTTTTAGTAGAGACAGGGTTTCACTGTGTGAGCCAGGATGGTCTCAATCTTCTGACCTCATGATCCGCCTGCTTCGGCCTCCTAAAGTACTGGGACTACAGGTGTGAGCCACCACGCCTGGCCTCTTTTACTTTTATTAATTGTACAGTTTATAAGTATACTTTAAATAGGAAATCAGAAAATTTTATTGATTTTAATCAATATTTATATATAGAACAGCTAAACCCCAATGGGTAAAACATCAGGGACTGACTATATACAGAAATCCACAACAATTTTACCTTAGAAGAGAACTTAAAGATGCAAATAAATCATGGTTTCTCAACCCGACACGGTGGACATTTTGGACAATTCTTTGTGGCTGGGAGTGTCCTGTGCGTGGTGGAATATTGAGCAGCATCTCTGGCCTCCACTCACTAGAAGCCAGTACTATGTCACATACACACACCCATTGTGACAATCGAAAATGTTTCCAAACAAGTGTCCCCTGAGTGGTGCAAAGCATCCCTTGGTTGAGAATCACTGAACTAGATATATTATCTCTCTCATGAATGTTTTATGTCTGGTGCTATCATGTTCTGTTCATGTTCTTACTGTTTCCAGAAAGGGAACCACCATATAGATTGACTTCCTTTCTGTTATTTTGTATCTATTTCCTAAAGAAAAGTTTTATAAACTTCAAAAATAAAGAAAAACAACTAAGAAAAAAGACTTAGCTCTGTGTAAGTGCAGAGCCCCCATGATTAGGCTGCCACATCTCAAGGCAGGTCATTCTCCCTTGTGTTTCTTGAAAGGGTAAAGGTGAAAGAAAGGGATTTTCATTTGCAAAGGATTTTTCTCAAGAGGTCTTGTGAGCAACTAGAACAATAAAAACCCCAGATGCTATTAGATGAAGGGCAGGTCTTACAGATCAGTCTATCACACTCAAAAGGGGAAATACAATTTTCTGTTTTAGAAAAAAAGAAAATCTCTGGTGTCGAGAGACCTCACAGATTTAATGACCATCTTGCCAGGCACTGCTTTAAACAAGTAAAAAGAAACATACTTATTTCCAGTCAGGAGCCTGGAGTTCCATGGTGAGGTCACATACATCTAGTTCTCTATGTCCCACTTTCTGCCTTTACTGACATCTGATTGAATTATTGAAAGAGTTCATCGACATTAACCCTGGACAGCCTCTTCTACCTAAGGGAGTAACTTGGAAGTGTGACCCAGTCATGGTCTGAGCTGCCAAGACAATAGCAGGGGAAGAATGCTGCATTCGTGTACGTCAAAGTAATTAAAAGGTGTTTTGTTATCAGCTCATTAATATTGATTATACCTTTTTCCACTCCATTAGAGCCGATAATTGGAGGTGGTGCTAGGTATGTTCAATGTTTCCCAACTACTCTGCTACTGACCCCGGGAAGAAAAACGTTTTGAATATTAAGCGCTTACCTTGCTGTTTACAAGCTACAGTTCATTGGCATCCACCTTGGCAAGGCTGATCCCCAGAAGGATGCCATTTTCTGAGAAGGTACAAAACTCAAATGTGATGTTAGCATCTGACCAGACTCTGTAGCCCTCTTTGACTGAAACACACAAGGACAGCCCCAAGTCAACCTCAGAGAGGCATGGGCTGGGCTGGGTGGCTGCTGTGCATTTGGGCTCTCTGGCTGGATCTAGCTCTTCCTCTGGATCCAGCTGCATCCCCACCAGCAGGTCAGTCCTGCCCTGAGCCTCAGCTTCCACATCTGTGTGATGAGGTGGAGCTTTTAAAGAAGACTCAAGCACTCAGCTGGGATAAGCCAGACCAGAGCAAGAATGGGCATATCCCTTCATCTACTGCCAGGCAAGCATTGGGTACTTGGCATAGGTTTACATTCTGGACAGCTGCCAATCTTGAGTCTACGACAATGCTGTTCAAACTGTAGTCTGTGGTCTGGTGTCAGTTGGCAAACTGTTACTGGTCAAGACAAGATAAGCAGAATGAATGGGAGGAAGCTTTGGGAAAGTATGTAACAGTCTGACATGTCCTGAAGCCCCCAACATATCAAAGAATCTGCCTCACTGATCAGAGGATAGGCAGCCTGGGTGTGGTGGTACCAGCACTGCAAGGTGGCCAGTGTCATGTGGCAAGAGCTGTGTATTTGTCATGCCCACAAGGACCTCTTTACAATGTGTGATGTTTGAAGGCTTGTCAACTGTAATCCAACTCTATATAATCTGTATGTATTTACAATTTCTGTTTTTATAGTCATTCTGATTTTTAATGACTTTTAATATACATATACGCATATATATTTGGTAGCTGCATTAGGCAAGTAAATTTACTGTAGATGGCAAAGTGCGAAAATCATAGTGTCATTTAGGGAAAAGCACTAATGAAACCATAAATGAAACTGGTACTTAAGTGATATTTACTTATTACACAAATTCAAAACAAAGAATTCTTTGTGAAAGAACGTTGAGTTGAAAGGCAGATAGAAGCAGATTTTCGGTATTTCACGTGCAAACTTTCCAGTTTTGGGGAGCTTCCCATGGACTTGCTTTTCAGGTTGCTAAAACTAAAAACCATTTATCACTGCTGAGAGATTAGCAGCAGAAGATTGTATTGCAGCTGTCTGCATACACTTACGCACCCACAAAAATTTTAAATAGTCATTTAAAACATTATTAAAACAAATGAATTCTAAATCGGCCTACCAGGAATTTCCACCCGTTGGGTCTAGGCATACTCTCTGAAGCAAGAAAATGAAAGAGGTGCCTGACATCCTCAAATCCAAGAAGAGAGCCCGCTCGTCCCCAATTCCACACTGAATTTCTGGGGTGTCCCCGCCGGGGCCACAGCCGGGCCCCCACCGTTCTCAGAGCTGCCCTCATCTGAAGACCACAAACCTGGGACCTGGGCTTCCTCCCACTGCCCCGTGACCTTTCGCCCGCCTTCCCTGTGACTCAGAAGTCAGGGCCAGACTACCCAGAGCGAGAGCCCTGTAGGGTCCCCGCCAGCATGCCCAGCCAGGGTTCCCATCCAGCGTCCCCGCCCAGCCTCCCGGGGGCTCCACCAGGCCACCTGCGCTCGCTCATTCACAGCACAGCCCCTTCCAATCTTGACGGCCTCCGCCCAGTCGAGCCTGCGTGAATCCAATTATTTCCCTCTACCTTCCACTCGGAGAGAGCGGCCAGGACGCCAACTGGCTTCTCTGGAAACACCCCGGCTCCCCAGCCCTCCTGGGGCATCTCTAGGTGACACCCCACAAGGCCCGAGGCCTCTACTCCTTCTCTCCCGTCGGCAGTGACCCTGCCTCGCACCTGCCACGTGGGTCCAGCCACACTGTCCCAGCAGACGCTCTCACCTTAGCCTAGGGAAAGCGCTGGGCGTAGCCTTTATACGTCCGACCGCACCCCCATCCAACCGCCCAACGGCGCAACCGCCACTCCAAAGGTCTCCAACTGCTGCTCCAGGCCACGGGCTGCCCCTCCCCACGGCTCTGGGACCCCGCCCCTCCACCGCAGGCTGACCCAGCTCACCTCACCAACGGTCACGCCCACCGCAAGTCTGGCCCCGCCCCACCGTGCTCTCTCCCGGCTCCACGACCCCGCCCCTCAGCGGCAGGTCTACCCCGCCCACTCCAAGAACCACCACTTCCACAGCCAGGCACCTTAGCTCGGGCTGAGGTCCTCTTTGGCTCCTGGCAGCTGTTGCCCCTGCAGCCATCTGTACCGGATGTCTGCTGTGTTTTGTCCCCTACATGTAGTTTTGATATGTTTTTAAAACTTCATCTATATCTCAATTACTCCGCTCCCTGCATAGTAAGCGCCGTGAGGATGAGCAAATGCCTGTTCAGCTTAGGATCAGATCCTTAGCACGTGATACGGGGGCTGGCGCTCTACACCCACACCTGCTCTGCCGGCTCTCCTGGATCATCGTGGCCAAATGAGATGGTCTGTGTAAGAGCACTTGTGAAAATTTTAGAACTCTTTCCATACCCCTGAAACCCCAGAAACGTAAAGAATTATTTTCATTATTATTGCTTTTCCGTACATTGATCCGGGCCCCATATTTCCAGCTTATGGTTTGGTTACAGCTCTACATGACCCAAATGGAAAGATAAAAATATTCTCCTTTGTTCATCTCCCTTTTAAACATGATTTCTCCTTAAAGGTGCTTAAAAGAATTTTATATGCAATGAGTCCTTTTATCATCTATCTCTAATGTTTTACCTGGCTGTTTATTGGCTATCGTGCAGCAATGTTTCTTAGTATTTTTTAAAAGATATTTACATCTAAGTCCATAAGTAAAGTTGGTCTATAATTGTTTTATACTTTTCTTGTTTCATACGAAGTTATTCCACCAGTGTTAAATGAGTTGGTCAGTTTTCTTCTTTTTTCTCATGTTTGCCAGTGCTTGCCTGTAAATCTATCTGGTTGTTGGACGTTTTTGGAAGGCAGGTGTGACTGAGGATTAAATTTCTCTGTGGCCAATGCTACTGGCTTATCCAGGTGCTCTCTTTATTTCTGAAAAACAATTTAATACTATTTTCTAAATATTGTGATACCTTTTTGAGGTTATCACAATCTCTTTTACAGAGGAAGAAACTGAGGCTTGGAAACAGTGCCGCATGCTATGGAAAACAGTATAGTTCTTTCTCAAAAAAATTACAAATAGGGGCCAGGCGCGGTGGCTCAGGCCTGTAATCTCAACACTTGTGGATCATTTGAGGTCAGGTGTTTGAGACCATCTTGGCCAACATGGTGAAACCTGTCTCTACTAAAAATACAAAAGTTAGGCAGGCGTGGTGGCACCTGCCTGTAGTCCCAGCTACTCGGGAGGCTGAGGCAGGAGAATGGCTTGAGCCTAGGAGGCGGAGGTTGCCCCAAGCCAAGATTGCACCACTGAACTGCAGCCTGGGTGACAGAGTGAGACTGTCTAAAAAATAAAATAAAATAAAAATAAAAAATTACAAATAGATTTACCATACGATCCAGCAATTCCACTTCTGGGTATATACCCCAAAGAATTGAAAGCAGGGACTCTGAACAGATACTTGTGCATCCGTGTTCATCGTGGCACTATTTACAATAGCCAAAAGATGGCAGCAACCCAAGTGCCCATCAAGGGATGAATGGACAAGTAAAATGTCTGTACATACAATGGGATGTTATTCAGAATTAAAGGGGAGGAAATTCTGACACATGCTAAACACAGATGAACCTTGAAGCTATTATGGTAAGTCACTTATATGAAGTACCTAGAGTGGTCAAATTTGTAGAGACAGTAAGAATGGTGGTTGCCAGGGGCTGAGGGAAAGAAGGAATGGGGGCTTACTGTTTAATTGGTACAGGGTTGTAGGTTTACAAGATGAAAAGAATTCTGGAGGTAAATGGTAGTGGTTGTACACCATTATAAATGTATTGAATTTCATGGAAAGGTACACTTAAAGATGGCTTAAAATGGTAAATTTTATATTTTTTATATTTTGCCACAATAAAAAAAAGTACTACATTAACTGACAGACTAAACAAGGACTTTTGGCACCAAAATTAGACTGGAAAGAAATCAGATATCTCAGTAAAGGCGTCATGAGAAAAATATGATTGTCAATAGATTTTGTTGCACGTGCTTTAAGACATAGATTTGCTTTTATTTGGAATCACTTGGCAGTGAGGGAAAGGGTGTCATAATCTTTTTATGCCCTTGAGGCTCCAAAGTAGGGTTGCCAGATTTAGCAAATTAAAAACACAGGATGCTGTGCAATATTTAGCATGTGCTTACACTAAAAACATGTCTGTGGTGTTTATCTGAAATTCAGATTTCCCTGGGTTCTGTGTTTTATCTGGCAACCGTCTCTAAGAACCTGAGTCCACACTTGGCGAGAGGAGTTAAGGAATCAGTGTGAGAACCCGAAGTGCGAACCACAGTTGGTGTCTGACCTGGGACTGCAGGCTCAAGGTCACGGGGACAGAGCTACACCCAGGTCACTCGACTCTGTGCTTGTGAAAGGCCAATGGGGAGCTGGTGGGTTTTCCTGAGGAATGCTTCGGAGAGACCTTGTGAACAGCTGTACTCATGAAAGGCCCATGCTCCGTTTTAACTCTGTTAGAGCGGGGGTGGAGGCAGGGCTGGGGTGCAAAGCTCAAGGCAGCTCCACAGTCTGTGTTCTATGTCCTGGTTTTGGTCACTTCCTCACCCAGCATGGTAGACCAGGATCTAGAATGTCTGAGCCTTCATCTCACATTGTAGCTGGTTTCCACAGAAACATGAAACCAAAGACCACCCACGGCACAGCAGAGGTTCTTGGCGCACGTGCACTGCTGCTGAGACGGCCACGTGCCCCTTCTGGGCCCAGCTGCCCAGGAACTGCCTTTGAAAAGTCTGCTTTCCTCCCATGGCTGGTGCTATAGAACCATCAGCACATCCACAACTGGCAGCTGCCTTTCTCTAAGGAACATCTTCTTGCAGGTATTTAAATGGGAAAGAATTACAAATTTCAAATATACCCATCAAGAGGTGTGAATCCCCCTAAGGGTTCAAAAAACATAGGGAAGGCACAGAACAGGGACGGCGACCAGGAGCACAGCTGCCTTCCTTGTTTATCCAATCAAAATCTCTCAGAGACACAAACTCTGGCCTC